TCGAATGGAGAGGAGTAAGAGTTTTGGGCTGGGTGACTGTGTATGATTGGCTAGCGCAAGGTGTGCGAGGGTCGGAGGATTGAATGATGAGTCTAGAACGGAGAGTGTACTCGGAAGATAGGGATGCGGAACAGGGTGAGGAGTATAAATGAGCTCAATGGGAGGGACGATGAGGCCTGAGCGCAAGCGAGTGATGGTGTTGAGCAGGGACATTTTACAGGCGCGTCTTCCTCCTGACTCCATTCCTCGATCCACATGCAAGGCTGGTGCAAGGCTTCCTCAACTCTGCCACTACTACCCAAGAATCCGTCGAGCCATATTCCGGATTCACTAGTAGACCAGGAGAGATTACGCTGGTTTTTTCACTCTGGTGACGTTCTGGCCATACCCAGAAAATCTTAGGGACTTTCAAAATCTCCCTGGTGTCGGTCGCTTGAGAAATGCATTTACCTACACTCGAACTAGAAGAGTCGTCACAAAATGTAATTGCTGAGTTGGATAAATAGCTAGATAAATACAAGAATACAACGAATCCATTAACTTTACAACTTGCTCAAGTCAAACTTCTCTCCGCACGCTATTTCGACCGAGTCGTATTCCACGTCGTCTGTGGGCTGCGAAGACACAATTCCGTTGTTGTACCATAAATAGTGATAGTCTTCTTTGCCCGGCTCTCCTGTAGGGTCTCCGTAATTTAGACGCACCCTTCCTTCTGACTCCTTATGATTTACGCCAGCCACAACGGCGCGCTGCTTGCCAGAAGGGATCTTGACAGTGATGAGCTGCCTCTCCGTCTTGGATTCCGACTTCTCCCAACCTCCTTCACCACCAATCTTGATACCGGCGAGGTTAATCTCAGCCTTGTTGGTGTGAGTCCAAGTCTCCGTGGTAGTCCTCTCACCACCGACTTGGGTTTCGATGTCAGGCGCATTAGGTTCGTCGCAGTTTGCTACGGGGTCTCCGAGGATGAACCAGCGACGACGGTCGGGGAGGTCTTTCTGGAGAAGGAATGGAGTGTTAGTATCATTATTCTTACAAGGTCAGAAGATGTGGGCACGAACCTGCTTCTCAAAAGTACATCTATCAGCATCACCGATGGGACGACCAGGGCAGTGGTCGAGGTTTGTAGGATCAGGTCGATCCACATTCTTTCGCGCTTCGAGCTGCTGACCAGATGGTGCAGCAGAAACGGCGGCGATACCGAGTGCGAGGGCAACGAACGAGGTGCAGCGCATGTTGGTGTGTATGTGAGAAGTGAGAGGCTGGTTTTAGAGAGGTAAATTTGGTTTGACTGATGAAGAGAGAAGTCATGTCGTGCTTTTATCCCCAGAATCCGTCTTGGGAGTTGGAGTGCCAAGTCGCGTCGAGTAGCACAGGGCGTTTCAATTCCTCACTCGGGAGTTCGGATCCCAGTGGTATTCGACTAGCAAAGTCACCTCATCGCAAGTTTGAGCGTTGTGGTGTGGATATGCTCCAACGAGCTCCAATCATTGTTGGGAGCTGAACCAGTGCCTCCTCGCAACCCGACGTGCATTATCACCGATATCGAGAGCGTCATTACATTATGCGATTCACGACCCTGTGAGTTGTAATTGAAGATCTGTGGATCAAGGAACGACGGGTAAGTCACCGCGTTGAGGGAAGAGGATGTGTACACACCCAACACCAAAATTTAAACAGCGTGCTACCAGTATTTCTTGCACAGAGAGCCTCAAAAGTAATTTTGAGGTGGTTTCAAGTCAAAGATGTTGTCCTGAGCGTGTTTGGTGATCACAAGTAGTCTCCTCGACGAATTTTCGAACACGGTCGGCGCAGGTAAACATCTTCTTTCGTCATTATTTCATTCTTGAAACCATTCTTGGAGAAGATTTTGACAACTTACAAATTCCTTTTCCTGCCAAGAGTCTCTAAATTGTGTTTGAGGGGCCTGGAGGATGGTCCGTAGGATGTCGCTTGTTCAAGTCGTCGCAGGGATGATGGGAGTGGAGATGCAAGTGTGGGCGTCAATTTAGCCGCCTTTGCGCTCTTCCTTTTGCTCCCTCATCTGCTTACCAGGCGTACTCTTAACTGCAACCATACGACACCATAGATGGCTCCGGATCATCTAGCATCTCTGAATTCTGCACTCCTCGATTTTGCGACCCATTCAAGCCCCAGAAGCGCCATCTCAAAATGATGTTTATCAATGAACAAATGGGACACTCGTCAAACTCCGAGCGGCTTCAGCGGTCGTTACTCGAAGACGGCTGTATCAAAATCCCGTGGTGGTGGAGTACCTCAGATATCGGGGACGTTGTCGCGCCACTTCTCGTAGCGAGCACTGGTTACTTGATACATTCCAGCAAGGTGAAGTCATCTCCTCTCCGGGTCCGTTGAAATTCGCCAAGTTCATCTGCGACTACAGGAACCAAAACATATAAAGGGATGTAAACTACGAGTCGAGAGCAGGAGTACCATCAGCATTCGCAACGTTGCTGAAGAGAGTTTTTCGGTCCCGAGACGTCCTGCTTCGCTGGCTCCTGCATGGTTGAGGACGCGCAGTAGTGGATGAATACGTTGGGTCGGGGTCGTCATAATTATAGAAGGCAGAGCACTGAGCAGCACTGTGATCGTTGAGCAGAGCTGACAGTGAGAGCTTCGAAGAGCTTCACAAAGTTCACACCGACATCCACACCGGTCACGTGAACGTTTGAATCCAGTACCCCACACTTGGATTCGAACTTGCTCCTGTCTGCCTCACACCACTGCTATCCTCATGCTTCCTCACACCACGCCCTCTCGGCTACGTTCTTGTGGAATGCGAGGATCCAACCACCATACGTATCCGACTGAAGAATCATTGCTGTTCAGCCTATGTTCAGTGCTCACTGTAGGCTAATACTCTTGGCACAAACATTAAACGCATTGTCCTCCACCGGGGACAATGTCCATCGCCGGATCTCTGCTTTTGGGAACCCATTGTTCTCTCGACTGGTCCTGGCCACGATGGCCCTTGGATTTATATAGCCGTTGATCGTGCTGGACACCGGCACCTACAACGAAATCCTCGCAGGGAAAGGTGAGTTATTCCTTTGACAACGTAGCTTCGCAAACCTGACGAGGACTTCCCAAGCATGCTACGCGCCATCTTGTGTAACCGGTGTGAGGCCTTCATCGACTGTTCTCCGCCGACAGTTCCTCTGGTACACACCGGTCCATCCGAATATGTATCATCGTCACAGGAAATATCAGAGATGCAGGCGGCAATGTTAGAGGATGAGGCCATGTTGGATCGATATGACGAGGAGATCTTTCGGCTTAAGAAAGCTCTGGGCGTATTGGAGATGCACAGATCCGCTCTCAAGCAGCGGATTCACGAGAAACGTTCCCTGATCTCGTCTGTCAGGAGGTTACCTCCCGAACTTCTGGATTACATCTTCACCTTCGTCCACGACTCGTATGACTACTCTCTCAACCTATCCAAGTGGAACCACACTCCAAGCGCGTCAACCATTCTTCCCCTTTCCCAAGTCTCACCCCAATGGAGACGAGCAGTCGTTTCACGACCTAAGCTATGGTCATCCATTTTCATCGACGCCAGCTCAATCCAAACGGAACGCCGAAATCTTATCAGGACACATCTTCGAAATGCGGGTACACATCCTTTAAACGTACTCATTCGAAACAGTGGCACTCCAACATCAGCGTTCGCCAATGACGCCCTTTGGATGATCCTCCTGGAGCTTCACCGTTGCGCAGAGCTGAGATTCCGGGTTGATTGGTCAATGCTTGATGAACCACTTTTGGCGCATCGCCTTCCTCATCTTGTCTTTCCTCACCTGCGCTTTTTCGGTGATTCATCCTCATGGAACGCAGAGGAATCCACAGCCTTTGGCTGGATTTGGAAGGCCCTTCGGCAGGCTCCAAACCTGGTGCAGCTCGATACGAACCAATTCCACAATCCGATGATTTTCCCATACCAAAGACTCAACAAGATTCGCCTCGAGAACCTCGAGGCTCATCAAATTCTTCGCACCGTTCGAGCTATCCCCAATCTAAAGTCGTTGGAGACGGGCCAGTTAGCGATACTCGTCTCGGATGAACCAGAGTTTTGGACAGTGATGACTCCATTGGTTTGTTCCTCACTGCAAGAGATGATTATAGACGTCAGTAGATGTTTCGAGTCTGATCCGAGCATCACACGGCTTTGTTCCCTACTCGAGATACCCGCATTGGAGAGGCTCGAGATGAAGGCCTCGGACATCGACATATACCCAAAGAATCCCAGATTACCGTCCTCGTTCTTCACGATGATCCAGCATGCTTCCTCGTCTTTGCAAGGAGTAGTGTGGAAGTCAACGTTAGTCTGCTTGCCACGTACCTTCTACATGGACATTCTCCGATCACTGCCCAATTTGCGTTACTTCCAAGGTTCCAATACATGTCTTGGGGGCGAAGCAGAAGCCGCCGATCATGCTGAATACGTTCTCCATCTCATCAAGAGCCTCACAATCACGGCTAGCTCTTCAGAACGCATCCTCGTACCCAGGCTCACGGAACTTCATCTGACGGAGTGCGAGAGCCGCATGACACTCGACTATGCCATCGAATTTTTAAATATGGTTGAATCAAGGAGTACCTCTGGGTTGAACGCCGTTGTCGCGAGATTGGCGAATGCGGAACTCGCGTATGCGACTTGTGAAACGGATCTACTGGACCCTAATCACATTTCCATTTGCGAGAATCAATCCTGGGTTGAAGAAAGAATCGGAAGACTTGCCGAGAACGATATTCAGTGTACGATTCATGAGTGCGAGGGATGGCCTTGGGTATGATGTACTTAATAATTGTATGGCACAATGTATTACTATCCCGTATGTTGTAAGTGAGGATATATTTCGTAGTCAGAAGATGGAACATAGGTGAAAAAATATCTGCGCAACGCGGTCACGTGCTAAGTTTTAGTACAGTTCACGCCAGTGGTCAGTGTGCAAAAACTCGACGTCCAACGTCCAGTACATGGGCCTGACCGGGAATTGAACCCGGGACCTCCTCGATGGAACTCACTGAGAACCCTAACAAGGAATCATACTACTAGACCATCAGGCCGTGGGTAACTATCGTCTGGTAGACCCGTAGGCTGTGACCTAGAACCGTGAAAGCTTAAAAATCACCTGGTATCCTGACGTCCAAAAACCACGGCTAGGCACGCCCAGCCCAGGATGACCATTGACCACCGCAGGGGTCGAACCTGCAATCTCCTGATGCTATGATAGTACCAGCTATGCCCACCCATCGTAGTCAGACGCGATGCCATTTCGCCAGGCGGCCATGAGAGAAGAGCCGTAAAGTGCGGCCATAACTAGAGATGTGTCAACATGCGTGATCATGAATGGGACTTTGAGAGCCCTTGGCGGGTCTCGACAGCTTGACATTTGATGGAATGCACAACGAGTGCACAACTGTTCAGGGAACTTGAACCGTTTGAATGTTTGAATGAACGGAGCCCGAATAACACTCACCAGCTTCTCTTACACTAGCCATACGCTCTGACCACGATGCGTCAACGTAGCCTGACGTTGACACCTTACTTAACCATCGGGTTTTAACAGCCCTTCCGTTCGGCGTCCCGTCGGAACTGGGAAAAGGAAAGCTGAGGCCTGATTCAGATGTTCGTTTATTCGAGTTGCAGGATTGAATCCAAGTGTTGCCTGCTACACATGTGTGAGAATTCCTACCATCGTGGTGGTGCTTGTACTTACTAGTAGTAGTAGTGATGGTGGAAAGAGGTCAGTCTCCGTCACTGGCCGGCGCTTGTGACGGTTTGTCGCGCTTTCCTGATCAAACTCCCATGATGCCACGAGATGCTCTTCAGGAGCAGTCAAGGCGAGGTACGTCCTTCGTTCCCTGGCTTTCTTTTGACGCCTGATTGGTGGAATGGTACGCAGGAGTATCGCAACCTCGACATGAAATTCACTCCCGGGCTATCCTTCAAACTTCAACTCCTTTCATTGTTCAATACTTCGAAACGCACATCTGGCTACTCAGAAACATTCTTGGTGCCTGTCCTGCGAATTGAGCTGGCGAGAGGCATACCCCACAACTTCGTCTAAATCCGGTAGAGATCCTAGCCAAAGGTCCAACATCGAATGCTGAACGTATAGCTCTTACGACTACTTCAAGATCAGGCTTGGGAAGGAACCTTGGTCTCTGGACAAGCCTCGGTTGAGAGCCTATGATCAGTGAAATTTAACAGTTGATGGCCATGAGCATCTGTATTGAGGTTGCGGTGAGTTTTTCTTTGGTCTTTCAGTTGCGTTGTGTTTACCAACAATGATATATAGTCATACCGCACTATGTGGATCCTGATCACACTTTGCCACCGGCTAGAACACTCCTTTCCCATTTTGACATATTATTATGAGCGTACTTCACCGTCACGTCTTCCTGACATCCACGACTGTCCCCCCGTCCCGGAGTCTGGGGCATCAAATTTCAATAGCGGGCACATAGCGTAGGGGTTATCGCGTTCGCTTTGCACTTTCTGGGCATGCGAAAGGTCCCCGGTTCAATTCCGGGTGTGTCCATAGGCTGGATGGATTTCTAACCCTATCTGCATTCTTTTTGCAGCTAGAGGCGATGAGTATTGAGATACGTCTCTCAAGCACTCACCGGCACCTCATGCATCATATATGTCACTATATCATCATGCATTCTCATACGTGACACAAGAAGCTTTTGTCAATGGCTGAAGCTGAAAATTAGATCATGGTGCACTAGCACTGTGGGCTGCCAGCCAGTACCAGATTGTAAAATGTAATACTAATAGCAGGTTCACTAACGAGTCGGATACAAAAGAGCTGACGGGTGGCTTTGTCACGAACAGACTCACATAAAAAGATATGCAGTCTCGAAATCGGGATGGCGTTGAGGTTGCTCGTACATAAAGTGTTATTACTTATGCTTGGGCGCTTATTCCGACTAGGCGATATGATACAGAATGATACAGAACGATTCCTTTCAAACTATCGCCCTTCTTTTTGAGCTCCGACCAGAATGTAAAAAAATTTCACCTACCTCTTCTCGAATACTTTCATCAGCTTATAGGCTAACGTGAACGGCTAAGGCATGCGAATTATGATGGAGGGCAACGGTGCCGAGTCTGTGAGTACTAGTAGTGTCTCCAAGGTGTTGTATATTTCACTCTAACGAGGTGATGATACTCATCTAGGCTCCAAAAAAGCTCACTTTGTGCAGCTGCAGTCAGCACGCATTGCCGTCATACCAAAACATCCCTCCGCCTTTACCAGAAAGCATTTCATCAAACTATCTTCCAACGCAAAAAGAGGCACACGAGACCCATGAGTTGATAGAGCGGGAGGAGCAGATATTGGGACAGTACCGTGAAGAAATGTCGCGTGTTCGGAGATTGCTGGAGGTGTTGCAGGCTGAGACGAAGGTGCTGGAAGAACGACTTTCTATAAGACGCGCCGCCGTCTCCACGATACGGAAGATTCCTGTCGAAGTCTTGGATGAGATATTCGGAATTGTATGCCATCCAGAGAATACCCCTCACGGATGGCAGAAACAGTCGCTCTATATAGCCCGTCAAACCATCACCCATCCAACAGCACTTGCCATTTCACACACTTCGTCCCATTGGAGAAGGATCATGATCGCTCGACCCCATCTATGGGCCTCGATATTTGTTAATATACGGGGCCTGCAGAAGGACATCAGACCTCTGTTATCCGTCTATCTCCAAAACTCGTCTGGAGCACCTCTGGATCTCAGAATCGTGGAAACGACCCCAAAACGACGAATCACCATCGGAAACTCCACTATAACCCCATTCAACGCGACGAGGGACCTGGGGAAACATGGCATTGAAGCCTTCCAGTTATTGTTTGGACACCTGTCTCGGTGTGGGAGGTTGGAAATGAACGTGCGATGGGAAGTCCTCATGCCAGATGTCGTTGGTACTCCCGATCCTACCATCGCGTTTCCTGACCTCCACACTTTCACTACTTCCGAGGAGGAATGGCGTGCACCGTGGTTCTGTGAAGCACTCCAAGAAGCACCAGGACTAAGGTCCCTGGATATGCACATATTGGTTCTGCCAAACGGTGCTCATATCCTACCTTATCAACGTCTCACGACACTGAGCCTCGGATATATCGAGGGAGTAAATCTGGTTCTCCAAATACTCGCGTCTTGCGAACGATTGGAAACTTTGGACTTGCAGGAGGTTGTTCCTGAACCCGACGAAGTCGTCATGGCTCACTCGCTTCCTCTACCTGCGCTGCGGAAACTGAAGCTGAACTTGTCAGACAGTGATCTCTCCGCATTGTCCGGGCTATTCGCCTCTCTCGAGATGCCACTGCTTCAAGAGTTGTCGTTTTCCAGCATGGACGCCTCCGACCCAGCCACCATTTCCCTGTCATTGTCATCGTTCATGAAGATGCTTGGTCATTCTCCTGCACTTCGGCAACTAACATTGGATATCGATAACACCAGACTACCACGGGATTCTATGGTAGAGCTTTTGCAGCTACTCCCAGAGCTAGAGCAGTTCTATTTGACGATTTTCGGCGACATGGATCAGGACGGAGCGATCGTCCGCCTTATTTCCGGTCTCACGTACACGCCCAGGTTGTCACCCCCAATAGGTTCCAAATTGACGCAACTTAAACTCCAGGAGGTCTTCAGTAGTGCCGACGTCGGAATTGTGGAGGTATTCCTCAACATGGTGGAATCGAGAAGTAGGAGCAGACTTGAGGCCGTCGACTCGAGCAGTGTAACGTCTCTTTGTGAGGCTACCCTGTCTCTTACCTTTGACGACGATAGCCCTGAAAGGTTCTTTGATCCATACGCCGATCCCGTAGTCGAAGAGAGGTTAGAAATGCTTCAGCAGGATGGCGTAATGTGTGATGTTGCTTGCGGGTTTTGAAGTGGACAGTGCAATGTACCGAATACGTGTAGGCCGAGTATGGCTTAAATAAAAGTTAGAACCCCAAAACAAGACTGTATATCATCCATTCAAATACAACGAGTCAATAAGTTGTACGGTACAAACAATACCCTGTTTGGTGAGCCGCTCAATCCTCGATACAATCAAAGGATTGCTGAGCAAAATCTCGCTCTGTTCTGTGCCACTCCTCCCGAAACGTCCACCGTGACATTTTAGCTCCACCTGGCACAGTGGTACAACTGTCTCATTACTTGCTGATGCGGTCCGCGACTCCACCATATCCAAAAAGTCTTTCACAAGAGTGTCATTTATACAAGAACGGTACCCATGGTAAGAGAATGTCTCGAGCTTGGGTAAAAGTGCCTCAGAGACGCCGGTAGCTGAAACCGTCAGTCGCGACAGCAAGTGGGTAAGAGTCTGTGATCCTTTGGTATCTTCACAGACTGCGATTCTGAGAGTTGTCAGGAAAGGGAACGGTTGCAGAAGGCGAGACAAGGAGTCCCGTCCGGGGAAAACCGAACAAGGAAAATTGAATGTGAGAGTGCGAAGGGAGCTAGAAAAGTGTTGAAACATGGCCATCAAGGAGTCAGGACAATGCTCCTCCATCGGATTAGTATCTACGGACGACTGCATGTTAAGAGATACCAGGCGAGGCATAACGAGAATCTGGAAGAGGGCTGATAGTTCAAAGAGTTCCCACTGCCAGTGGTCTACGGCGACTTCGAGCTGAAATGATTGAAGCATCGGTAGCACAACCTGATTCGATATCGATGGGCCTGGAGTCGACCAGATCTCCCCTAGCCTCAGGGATATTAATCCAGGAGTTTGACCGAGGATGCGTGGAAGACCCTCGACGTTGTAGTGCCAAATATCAAGGTGACTGAGATGCTTGTAAAGAGTGAAGTGGATTCGCGGAGCTAAGGTCCCGGACAATGCTAGTTCCTTCGTCTGCAAGGCTCCTTGGAATGCATCCCAGAACCAGGCTCCTTTTGGACGCAAGGGTTGGTTACCGCCAGCAGCCCAACGTGTGTCCATATTCACGTCCGCGGCAAAAACGATGAGGTCTGTGAAAGACACAGATACGTTTGTCCTCTGTGCCTCTAGGACCTCCCAATTGACATCGAGATGTAATGTGTTGCAGTGCTGCATTTGCGACGCCAAGAACCAAAATGCTTCCATTCCGTCTTCTCCGATAAATTGCTCTGTGTAGGAAATATGGTCAGGACCATCGAATTCTTCCGCATGGTCATCCTTATCAGGTTCAGCAATGCTGATCTTCAAGCGGTTCCCGGATGACTTCATGGCGAAATCGCGCAAAAGTGGCCTGACGTCCCGCTTCAGACCACAGATCTCTACGTGGATAGATGACCATAATCCAGGAAGGTTTTGGACAACCTTTCTCCAATGGGAAGACGTGTGTGATAGGTTGTATGTCAACGCATGAATGGAGGTGGAGCGAATGAGGAGAGAATAGGATCCTTTATTTCCGACGCGTTCAAAACATACGAGGTTGAATATCTTCTCTAGGATCTCGAGTGGTAGTTTCCGTAGGGCGGAGACGGTCGAACGTCGCTTCCTGATGCCTTCTTCGATAGCTGCTCTTTCCGCCTCTAATTCATTCAACGCTCTTTGCAACCGATGAATCTCTCCAAGGTACCGCCCTAACACCTCTTCCTCCTCCTCAATCTCCCTGAAAAGCGCAGCTGCCTCGGTAGCTGAAGGGACGTAGTCCGACTGAGTTATGTAGGGTGACAATGGCCGGGGAATATGACGAATAGACGTATTACATTTGTCGCATAGCATTATATGTCGTGGATGGGAGTCCGGGTTCGAGTACAATGAGGTTTGAGGCACCATGTTTTTTTTTCCGATTGATATATTTTGGCCTGGAAAGTCAGTCAAAACGTTGAGTTATGGCTAAGTATAGCAGGGTTTTTGGGTACTCACAAGCCTAGTTCTTGGCAGTGTACCAAGCCCGTTGGCGTTTAAGTTACATAACTTCTTTATCTTGCTTCTCGTCCATCATGCATGTCATTTCACGATTTTCCACATCCACAACGACCGCCTACACGGCCTCGGTAACCTGTCCCACGAGTTACAATTGAAATGGAGGCAAGTCCCAGCGCAGTTAGAGGCGTTACACCATGATTCTGCGCCTGCCTCGTCACGCTCCCGAGACGATTATAGACCAGTAGGTATCTGGGTGCTGTTCACGCCCGACCATGCTCCAACCCCAGAAGGCACGCGCTATATGTCGCATGTGCCCCGCTTGCGAGGAAGTAATCGAGACGGTCATTACTACATGGCTCAACGACACCTATGTCGGTGATCATTTCGTTTTCTTCTTCGGTACACACACTGATAAAACTACTTTAGTGACGGGCCTGCGAAGGATTGAGTCCGCCTAAGAGAGACTAGCGATCTGCAGGCCCAGAACGCTGCTTGTATCTACCGCGATGCTCATCACGACTGTGACTTCGGGAGCTTCTTTCTTGCTGGGTTGGTGGTGACGACTTACGATCTCTTTAACTCAATGTTGGTTACCAGCACCCTGAACTCAATAGACAAGTCAAAACACAACACTTCAGTGACAGTCAAATTCGAGCTGGACTACAC